ATCGTCGTAATGTTGCTTTTCTTTCTGTTTTTTACAAATACCATAATGGGCACTGCTCTGAAGAGCTAGTGTCTATTGTGCCACATACTAAAATTCATTCTCGTGTTCAATTCAATTAAATCTCATCCTTTTTCTGTTATTGTTTCTAAGTGCTGCAAAAACTCTTATTTGCCTAGTTTTTTTCCTCAAAAATCAGTTCTTTGGAATTCGCTTCCTTCTTCTTGCTTTCATGATTTATATAAAAATGCTGTTTGAAAACCATCTCATATGATTCATGTTATCAAAACATAGTTTTAGTAAAGTGAACATCTTTGGTCAGAATCTAGCATGCATATCTCCGTAAGCTCTTGAAAGAAATAATTTCAAAGTGATCCTTTTCTGTAAAGAAAAAATAGAACTTAAAATTTGGTAAGCTATGAAAAAAAAGTTGTAGTCCTAGTAGTTTGTCCAACGGTTACCTTTTTTATGCCGGTAACTCGTTCTTAGTTGACTTGCAAAATATGTTTGCTGATCATTGGAAAAAAAATTTATAGATAAATCGAAAATATGAATAATTGAGACATTACATTTTCTTTGCTTTTTTTTTATTCTAATTGTTTTATTTTTTTTATTCTGCTTATTATAACGTGAGATGTACGCAATGAGTTTTGCGCTTTTTTATACTAAGTAGTGTCAACACTTTCTTAATTGTTTTGAAAGTTGGGATTTTCAAATATACCAATATTTTTTTCAAAGAGTTTTTTTTAGTTTTAGAAGGCAATGGACTTCTCTTAACAGGTAGTTTTCTTTTTTCCCGTATAGATTGTGGTGGATTTGAAACATTGAATGTAGTAAAAATGGCATTATAGAGAAGACGTTTTCCATCGTTGTTTATTAAATAGTACATCGAACTTTCAAAATGATTACAAACGATAATCTTTGTTCGTAGTTTCGACAGATTTTCCATGTAAGTCTGCTCTTCTACAATTCGTAATCCATTTTTGCACCTGTAGAATAAGAAAAATATCAATAATATGCAATTTTTGTTGCTTGATATATTTGTGTAATGAGTTAATCATTTCAATGTCTATTGTCTAATTTTTAATGAATCATTCCCAATAAAATTGCGTTCAAAACAAAACTGATAAGATAACAAAAAAAAAAAAAAATATAGAGAATTATTTATTAAGGAATAAAATATTCTATTAGGCACTTCACTAGATTACTTAGTACTTACCTGCCTTTATCGCTGCGCAATATGAAGGCATATCTGAATAATGAAGATATTTAGCAATTGTAGAAAAACACAAAATAATACAGAAAACAGTTTCAACTAACTTTGTTGTTGTTAAACTTCTATACTACCATGACATCCCATAACACATTGCACGTACAATTACACTTTTAAGTATGTAAAAACGAAAAAGTCGACAGGGCATGTTAGAGGTGTACTGGATATTTTTTTCAGATATGGCGGGTATTGAACTATTCTAAGGTTCTATAAGTGTTAATAAAAAAAAAAAATCTTACCATACTACGTTAAATAGTGTTTAAAATTTAAAAAAGTAAAATCAAGAAAAATCTGGTATAACACAGCGTTAATAATGTATAAGAAAAAATCGTTTTTGCAGCCAATTTTTTTTTTCAATTACTATTTGCTATACTTCGTCACCACATATCCCATATCATACAATTTTTTTCTTATTTTTTTGAAGTAAGATCTTGAGTACTAATTATTGTGGACGGGCAAGACTTTTTTTCTTTTCATAAACACTTAAAGAACTATAGAAAAGTTAAATACCCTGCAAATCTGGAAAAAATATGCGGTACACGTCTAGATATGATTTCTATTTTATTACATATGTTTTTATTAAATAATTCATTACATTTTTTTATTAACATATATTACATTATTTTTTCGATATTTTATAACAATTTGACAGTCTATCCTAAAAGTTATTAGAATTTTAAAATCTAACAGGTGATTTTGCATTAATATTATCAAATTTTAGTAATGGTAGATTAAGGTATTTACCGAAATGATTTTCATTAAAACAATTTTTAAAAAAGTTTTAATTTTTAAAATATATACTTTAATAAATTAAATGAAAATAAAACAACAACATAAATAAATTAAAATCAAACAAACAAACAAAAAACAACCTGCCCAAAGCACGCCGTTATCTTTTGTAAAAAAGCAAGCTCTTTTTGTACTAGGAAAAAATAAAAACAAGAATTAAAACAGTGAGTTGTCTTTCATACACTTATTTGTTATTAATTTAGTTCTATGTATAATAAAATATATTGAAAAAACACTTTATAACCATTATTTATTGTTTAAAATTTTAACTCATAACTTAAATACTCACTTAGTAACTTAAAAATATACATTTAACGACAGTATGTAATATTGAAAGAATACATTTTTTGATTATCCAAAAAATTTTTTTTTTAATAGTGTTACAATACTATAAAGTTTAGTTTTATTCAGCGTAAAAAAAAATCAAACATGGTAAATATTTTTTAATCAAAATATTTCAACTAAAATGTGCCGTACCAAGCAATTTTAGATATTTTTTGAAACTCTTGCGCATCCATCATACACCTACTATATTTTTAGACATATTAAAAACCAATATTATAAGAGATTACTTTGTGTTATTGTTTATGCTTTATTTTCACTGAGGTTTGAGTACAGTCAAACTATATGTTCATCTAGACAGTTTTTTATTATTTAGACAAAATAGCATCAATGACAGTTTGCGGAAAGGTTTTTCTCTGAAGCACAATACGTTTTGTGAAAAAATTTCTTTGTTTACATGCAGTTCAACTCTTGTCAGGATTGTGCTAATCTTTGTTATGACTAAGCATATTTTTTATTGGTAATGACGGATAAAGCAACAGTATGTAACAATTTATTGCGTTGACTATGTAAATAAAATTAAAAAAAAAGATTAAATCTACATTTCATCTTCTCTTTTTACTTCACTTGTTATGTTTATAAGATCTAAGGTAACTTCTTGTTTACTAGTTTAATTTTAAACTGCATAAAGAGTTTTGGTAGCATAGTTTTAAAGTTTCTCTAATTCACCTCTACTAACTTAAAAAATATTTTTCCAGAGTTAGAAACTATAATTTCAAATGTTTATTTCTGTCTCAGGTTTAGTTAAAATTTTTCTACTTCAGCCTATTTGATGGCGTTTATGCACTAAACTAAACTATACAGTTTAGTTTAATGCATTTTATTCATCAAATAAAAGCGGACATTTGATCAAACAAAAGAGTTTAATCGAGGTAAATTGCCACTAGTTTGTTTTATCGTTTTTTTCTTTTCCTTATTTTTTTTTAACTCGAGCTACTGGGTGGGGAATCTTATTTTTGAGAACAATTGTCTTTTTGAGGATTTTAGTCTTGTGTGTTGTTTACAATCTCAAATATTACAATTCCCTCAAGCAAGAAATAAAAACAACTTTGTGTTGATATACTTTTGAGTAACCCCGAAAAATCCTATTGCTTTAATTTACGAAAACATAATAACATAATTATAACCTCATTAAACCAATAGCTTTAAAAATCTTTTTATTTTTTTTCGACCCGTAACATGGTTGTTTAGAAAACCATAAATCGAATGAAAAAATTATTTTTGCTGATATCGGCAAAAATAATTGTTTCATTCGTTCATTTCAATGCAGACTAAAATAATGTTCTACTTTGTTTGCTGTCTCTCTTTTAGTCGTTATTGATTGAATATATAGGATGATGTCCAATGTTTAACACTTATTACTCCTTTTATGCTACTAAACTGGCTCTTATTAACTTGCGTTTTCTTTGCGTTTATAATTAAATAAATTGTTTTATGGTTATTAACCACTAATTTAGGTGCTCTAAATAGTTTTTACAGTCATATTACAAAGAACCAAGCAAAAACATTTAGTAAGAAGTTCACACCTCCTTTTCTAACTGTTGATTCTTTGTTTCTGAGGTACGGGCACTACTACTGTGCCAAAGCTGATACTTTTACAGAGAATAAAAAACATTGTTATATGTTTTTATTTGTAATTTTATGTAAAGGTTTTCCTACAAATATGTTATTAAGAAATAAAGAGAATATATATTCATATATATATATATATATATATATATTTATATATATATATATATATATATATATATATATATATATATATATATATATATATATATATATATATATATATATATATATATATATATATATATATATATATATATATATATATAAATATATATATATATATATATATATATATATATATATATATATATATATATATATATATATATATATATATATATATGTATACATACATAAATAATCTTTTTACTCTAGATGTTTCAAATATATTGAATAAAAAGTCTTATTTGGTCTAAACACAGAGAAATTTTTAAAACAAAGAAAAATAGAGTCAGTGAACCTGAAAAATTTTGTTTTTCCGCCAGTTGAAATTCGTAGGGACTTTAATTAAAATAATTTTTTGAACTATTTATTGATTTTTTATTGATATTTTAGTCAATTTTAAAGAATAATTGATAGCTAGTACTTTTCTCCTAAACTTTGAGTTTAGGAGAAAAGAATAGAAAATTAAAATTAAAAATAATAATAACAATATTACATTTTTAAAAGTAATTAGACAAATTGAAAAAAACAGTCTTGCAATATTACTAATAAAAAGTATTTTAAAATTGAATAAAATTTTTCATACAAAAATTCATAAATTTGCGCGGAGTTAAGAGAAATTATTTTGTATTCAGGGCGGAAAACACGGGTTCCAGAGTGAAGGGGCGCAAAAGTCGATTTTTAAAAAAGTTCTCTTTATCTAGAATTTTCTTTAAAATTAAAGGAGGTAAGGAAGGGGGCAAGGGGCATGAAAACCCCGGCCTCTCCAATGACACGTTTCTGATATTACCTTCTGTTTAACTTATAGTATTAGTAACAACGTAAGAACACTGAACTTTAACTTTAAAAAAGTACTAATTACAATACCTTGGAACGTATTGGGTAATACAAAGGTATAAATGAGATACAGCGTCATTCCAGTATATACCACGTCCGTAATACTCTAATAAAATAAAAGTTTTTAAAATATTTACTTGAAAATACAAATTGACAAATTGAAAAAAATTTCACAACACTCAAGTATTCAAAAATTCTTATTTACTTCATAAAACCTTTTAACTTGTTTTTATGAAATTAGCTTCATTTGAATTTACATATATATATATATATATATATATATATATATATATATAGATATATATATATATATATATATATATATATATATATATATATATATATATATATATATATATATATATATATATATATATATATTATATATATATATATATATATATATATATATATATATATATATTTATATATATAAATATATATATATATATATATATATATATATATATATATAATATATATATATATATATATATATATATATATATTTATATATACATATATATATATAAATATATATATATATATATATATATATATATATATTTATATATATATATATATATATATATATATATTTATATTTATATATAAATATATATATATATATATATATATATATATATATATATATATATATATATATATATATATATTTATATATATATATATATATATATATATATATATATATATATATATATATATATATATATATATATATATATATATATATATATATATATATATATATATATATATATATATATATATATATATATATATATAATATATATATATATATATATATATATATATATATATATATATATAGCTCTCAAGGACTCTTGCCGTTTTAATTTTAAAGAAAAATCATTTTTTCTTTAAAATTAAAATAAAATAAGAAATAAAATTGTTCCTTTAATGCACAGACTTAACTAATAAAGTAAACACATTAACAACTTAGGTTCCGTGACTTATGTTCATCAAATTTTTAAAGGTGTAATCATGTTTTTAGAAATTTTAAAAAGCTTTGTAAAAAGTTTTCTCCCTTTCGTTTATTATACTATATAATATCTTGATATATGTTATGCATATATCTATAGGCCTTTAAAAATGTTTGATTTTGTATTCTAGAAAATTAGAAAAAATTTTTAAAAAAATTAGGTGTAAACGAAAGGATTTGAACCAATGTTAAGCACCTTAACCACATTGGCATGTTTTAAAGGAAAAAAAAAAATCTGTATTGTATTAATGTATTAAGTGGAAATCAATTTATTTATACATAATAACAAAACAAAATATATAAAGAAATGTATGTTTACAAAAAAAGTTCAATTAAACTTGCATTATCATTAAAGGATCGGTAGATTAACTAATATTTGGTTTAATTGGTAAGAAAACCAACTAAATAAAAACTAATTATAGACGCATGGTTTTTTGTATCTATTACTTACTCTCCTCTTTAGCATATGTATATATATATAAAAAGGTGGGGGATGCTTTTGCCCTAAATTTGAACCCACACCATGTGTTGAATGTGGGGCCTCTATTCGTTCTGCAAAATGCTAAAAAATCATTGTAAGATGTCTAAAATGAAACAAAATTAAATTAAATAATGACGTGAAAAAAGCTGAGATCGGCCCCATAAAAATACGGGTCTTTGTATATCTTATCCAAACCGAACTTTTCTATACTTTTTCCTTATATATTCTAGCTTTCCGAATCCGTAAAATACAGGTCTTTACCAATTTACATATCTATTTCTAGCCGAAAATTTCTATACCTATTCCTTATTTACTTCAATGTTTTTTAGTAAAATATTAAAGCAAAAAGCTAAACATGCTCACCTTTTCCGCATACGTAAAGCTTATAAGATACTTATAAATAGCTTTGTTTTTCTGCTAAATGCATTTCATTGATAGCTCAGTGCTTAAGCGCGCTGTCATCAGTGTTGTTTTGGAAGGTTTAAAGGTGAGTTTCTACTCGTCCGTTTTTTCATGGGAACGGGATAGGAAAGGAAAAAATAATCACGTGAGCATGCTTAGTTTTTCTTCTGACATATTGAAACTTATACTACGCATGCCCACGTGATTATTTTTCCCGTCCTTTTCCCGTTCCCGTGAAAAAACGGATGAGTGGAAATTCGCCTTAAGACCTACTCTTAGCGTAATAAATTTTGCAATTTTTTCAGTCTTGGTTATATATTTATAGCAAAAAAATAATAATATAGCAAAAACAATTTCGCAAATTTAAAATAAAATTTTAAAGTTTTCTCATTTTATAGATATAAAAGATAATATGTAAGATGAAATTTTTTTTTTTAAATTTTCTCATTTTGTAGATATATAGAGACGCAATTATTCCCTATTATGCGTGAAACTCATCATATGCTAAAGACATTTACACTTAGAGACGTTTGTATGTAACGTTATACAAATGGAACTAAGAAGATCTTAGAGCACTAAAACATAGTCATTAAAAAAAATTCATTCTTATGATTATGATTAAGAACTAAAGAATATTATTAAACGCTAATCTAAAAGTTAAGCCAAAAAGATTTTGCGCATTGACGTCAGTTTATGTCAAAATAAACCTTTTTCCTTTTGCATTTGTCTTACATTTTTTATCAATTTTTATTATGTTGCATACAAATGCATTAAAATATATAAAACTGGTACAGATATCTCATTTTCACGGATAAGAGATTGTATTTATTACAATAGTAATAAATAAATAGTTTTGGAGCCATACTAAAAGACGTTATCATTTTTAGCCATTTTTTGACCCCCTCACTTCTTTATTAGCAGTTGTTCTTTTTCCCTATACTCCCTTGAAAAGAACGTCATAAAAGTTTGCCCCCCTCCTCCCCAACCAAATTAAACCCCCCAAAAAATTATTTGATCTCCCAATGATGTTTAAATTTGCTGCTATACCTTTGAAAAACAAAATTAAAAGTATTTTTATAAATTATCTTCTTAAAAACATATATTTACATACTTTTTCATACTAATTAAACTAAAATAAAAAAACTATAAAGTAATATCCTTTTCTGACATACTCCCTCCTCTCCTTGTTCTTTTTTGTTCTTTTTATCTCGAAATCCTCCCCCTTTCCCAATTTGGATGACGTCCTTTAATCTATGGCCCCTTTTGTCTTTATTAGAATATATCCCAAAAAAATATATTCCATATATCTTTAATAGATAGAGTTTTTATAAAAAATTGAAATAAATATAATATCATTTTTAAAAGTCTAAGAAGCAGATGACATAACTTTAGAAATCAGAAATTATCGAGAGAGGAGCAAATCTAACGTTGAAGTTTCAAATTTTTCAATCGGAAGTGACAATATATTTTGTGTTTTTTTTAATCTTGTCAATTTTTTTAAATATAATAACATAACTACAAAAACCCAAAAACAAAACAGCTTAAGCAAAAAAGACTTGTAATTATTAGAATCGTACGTAATATAAGTATACTTATATTTAATTTTTTTGTTTTAGTGGCTTTTGATAAGAGCTTTTAAACTTTGCGTCAAATTATCTCATTTCAACATATTCGTTATATCATCCTTACTGCAGCCGTTTTGTCAAAACGCCTTAAGGTTAAAAAAATCTATTATGACTTTTTAACAAAATAAGCTAGTTTTATATGTTTACAAACATTATTAAATACATATTTTCAAAGAGTTCTGAAAAAAATTCATTAAAATTATTCGTTTCAAAAAACGTTTAACGAAGAGTTAATTTTAAATAACTTTTTTTTAATTGCGTTTTTTCTCGAAATACGTAATAAGCATATTAAGGCCTTTTGAAAAACAGCTGCAGCATATATTTATAGTAAAAAAAATAAATGTTGCAAAAAAAGCTTTTGATTATCAAGAAAAAGTTTTAAATTTTTTTCTAGCTACGGGCTTTTTTTTTTGCCTCCACAGCAGCACCTTCTTGAGTAGCAGGACTTTCTTATATATTTAATATAGTTTTTTCTTTTTTAAGTTTCCGACAACTTTTTATTCAGACCATCCGCAGCTTATTAGGACTAATTACCTGAGCACAATAATAACATAAGTTTTTAATCATCATACATACGCAACGATTTTTTTCTCCCGGTGATGTTTTTTTTTTTAGCTTTCTTAAATTCTTTTATTTTGTGAGTGCATAATATCGTTACGTTATATATGTTTGTATATAATCTTTATAAAACTTTGAAAGTATTTTGTATTTTAAAATAATAAATAATAATTCAAAAAAAAAGCCGTTATTGGTAGGTGTCGAACCTCCAGTTCCTTAAGTACCTTGAGCAGAAGTACGACGCTATATCCACTCGAGCTACACCGGAATATTGTATTATGTAGATTTTATAATTATGTAGTAATTTTTTGAGGAAAAAATGTTATAGATCAAAATTAAGGAGAGCTTGACGTAATGAAATTTTCAAGTGAAAATCAAACTGGAAAACATGATAAATGTTTCAATATGCTTTAACATATGCTTTAACAGTACGTAAAATTTAACATAAGTTAAAGTTTACCTACGTTAGATATTCGTTCACGTTTTCTTAGAGTGCTGCGACTCTTTCTTGCCAATACCTCGGTTGCAATGGCTGCCAAGGGTTTTGTGTCAAACACGCTCCAAGGGACACTACTATTAAAACTATTAAGTTCGGCAACATTATATAGAAGATGACTATTGTTTGTTAATGTTTTTATACGGTATGTATATATATATATATATATATATATATATATATATATATATATATATATATATATATATATATATATATATATATATATATATATATATATATATTAGGGTGCGTCATTTTTCAACAAGTTTTTTAAATTAAATCCCAATTAGCTGGGTTAGTTGACCGTTTGGATAAAAATTAATTTACCCTAAAACAAATTTTTTGAAACCCATTTTTAAGGCCCCACTTTTTATAACTTGTGTCCCGAAACCCGAATTTTTTTAATTAAAATGCGGGCACTTTAAACATTGACACAAAACACCTTTTTTTTTTTAATGAACTCTTTAAAAGGCACTCTCGTATTTGCAATGATATTACAAATGGTGGACGCTTT